CAAGGACAATTAGTCCCCATACTGCTTTGACAGAACATTCTGGTTCTTTCCTTCAAAACCTACCAACGATCTGAATGTCAATCGTTGCGCTGTCCACGAATTTGTCCACTTTGACTTCCAGGTCATATTTCCCAGAGTGGCTCCTCTCTGCTTTTCTGATAAATATGATTGTATCAGTCTCAGAGTTGCGAATGTTTATTTGATTCTTATCAATTTCTGCACCATCCTTCTTCCAAGTTAATTCCGGTCTTGGTTTTCCCTAACAAGGAAGACAGAAGAAGTACAGGAGGGAAATCAAATTGTCTCAAGATGTTTTTTCAACATTACAAGGACGACAATGGCTTAACCCATTCTAGGAAAGGTTGTAAAACACCACCCTGCTAGTCCGGTGGTGAACAATTACAGCACCCATCAATTGCATTCTGTGTGCCCTACCCTATGTACATGACATTTATTTCTTCACATAAAGATAAGTATCAGTATCCTCATTTTTCGGACAGAGGAGTTAAAAGATTTGCCTGAGGCCTTGCAGCTAAGTAAGCACTGGAACCATGTCTCCCAGCCAGGTGTCCTAGGCTCCAAAGCCCACGCAACACAGCATAATGGTTAACAGCATGGACTCTGGGGCCCTGGAATCTATGTTTGGTTTCTGATCACTTAATAGCTGTGTGACCTTGGGCAAGTTACCTCAGGTAAGTCACTTAACTTCTCTGACTGTCAGTTTCTTCCTTTCTCAAATAGAGGCGTAAGGAACTCTGCCCTTCCTGCCTCATAGGGTGTTTCTGAGGATCAAATGAGAGAATGTTTGAGAACTCTAGAGGTTATGCACATATACAAACATGATACACACAGACACACAGAGCTCTGCTCAAACCCAGGCTCCCATGAAAACCAAGCTAAAGGGAAAGCCAATTCAGGCCATCCTCATTGCACTTGGGCCCAGGCCTGCGAAGAGGCATGAGTACTATATATACAGAGCTGTCCAGAAACTATCCAGCCATGTAATATAAAAAATAGAGACATTTATTATATTAACAGTGGCTGGATACTTTCTGGACAGCCTTTGTACAATGCATGAAATCAGAAAGAAGGCCAAGAAGTACGTGAAGCAGAAGCCATCTTGCAATGGCTTGGCAAGGTTCTTCCCACTTCTCTCCTCCCATAGGCTAACACTGGGTCTGGGAGAGGAAAGAGTATGAGAACACGGAACTCATAGGTCTGGCATCTCAGGGACCGCTTAGTCACTAGGAAGAGAGTGGTGTGTGTGTGTGTGTGTGTGTGTGTGTGTGTGTGCGCGCATATGTGTATGTGTATGAGTGTTCAAATGTGTGCAGAGACATAAATTCTAATTCTAAGGCCATGCTGTCTGGTATGATAGCCATGAACTACATGTGGCTATTTAAAATTAATTTAAATTAA